TTGCATGAATTCAGTTGTTTCATCATTGCCTGCTGTGATAAATTTCATAGTGAATGAATATCAAAAAAATTAAATAATGTAAAATTTCACAGGAAAAGTGCTTATAGTCTAGATTGCACTACCCCACGCATAGAGTGTCTGTGCTGATGTGTCTTTCTCATGGCTGATGATGCACCCTTGGACTGGAAAATCAAGCATTTCAGTGATTAATGCTAAATGGCAACATTTGAAATATGGTAGAATTTGATGCACTGCAAAATGTAATGACTCAGAAAACTTCTTGACATCTAACTATTTAAACTCTTCAAACTCTTCAACTTATGACAAGACCAAAACCAACAGTGTGTTAGTCTGTCTTTGTGATTTCATATCCCAAGCTCATTTGTTACTACAGAAAATTTTGTGAAATGTTAATAATGGAGTTTGATGGCACAGACAAACATTATATATCCTGTGAGGCTTTGGCTACACAGACAGAACTTGTTATTAGGATCAATTCATTGCTGGTTTTGGACTTTTCTTTGTGTTGACAGTGAAAGCCACTAGAATATCACAAGACTCATCCTTTAATCTGGAGTTGGGTGCTATTTTGACAAAATAACAACAACAATTATAATAATAATAATTATGTACCTGATGCAGGTTTTTCCTTTGATGTTGTTCACTTTTGAATATGGTGTGTTCTGAATGGACTTGTGGAACTGCAGAAGTTATTGTGCTAGCAAATGACTGAAAAAAACAACAACAGAAGTCAAGTCATGACCACACATAAGTAACTGAAAAATATTTACTTAGTGCCCATTTGTAATGGTGCATTAGAGATTAAGAAAAGTGTGAGCTCAGATTCAATAATATAATAATGATATAATTTTAGTACCCAGCGCAGAGAGTTCCCACGTGTGAACTCTTGTTCCTTGAAACTTTTTCTTCGGAACGGGGTGCTGTCTGAGCAGGCTTGTGATGCTTCACTTACTGGGTCAGTTATCAACTGGGGGACAAAAACTTACTTTTTAAATCATTTTAAAAGTGTCTATTAGTCACTATACAACATGACAAAATATGAAAGGATAAGGCGGACAGCTTGTTCTATAGTTTTTTGGTTGTCAACAAATCTCATGACAAGACCAAAACAAAGAGACGTGTTAGTCTGTTTTTTCCACTTTCCCAGCATACTTAATCTGTGACTTTAAATTCCAAGCTCATTTGTTATTACTGAAATGTAATGGGAACTGTAGTTTTTAGTAAACACCACTCAAACAAGAGTAAATAGCATACATTGAAGACTCATTTTGGATGTTGCTGTAAATCTTTAGAAGCAGGATGATATACAGTATGTGGGATCCACTCAAAGTAAACTACAGTGCCCATGATCATTGTAAGGAAGGAACATGTCACACAGTGCAATGTTGAATTTTTTATATTAATGAGGAGTGCTATGGCACAGACAAAAGTCATATTAGGCCTTGGCAAAACAGACAGTATTTGTTATTGGGATCAATTCATTGCTGGTTTTGGACTTTTCTTTGGATTTGTTGACTGTGAAAGCATCTAAAATATCACAGGACTTCATGAGAATGGTACAATTTTTGACAAAATAACTACAATAACTATAATTATTTCTGTACCCGATACAAATAGTTCCTTTGCTGTTGTTCAGTTTTAGATATGGCATGTTCTGAATGGGCTTGCGGCACTGCAGCAGTTGTTGCAGTTGTGTTAGTGAATGACTGCAAAAAAAAGAACGAAGAAGTTCATGTCAATTCATGAACACACATAAGTTACTGAAAAACATTAATTAGTGTATAATAATAATAATAATAATAATATAATATAATAATAATAATTAAAGCTGCAAGCAGCGATGAGCGGGCCCGAACACCTCCCGCTCGTCGGGGTGTGCCGCACCCGTGTATCCGTTGCGTGCGGCCCTTAAGGTCGCACTGCCTGCATTTGAAGTTGATCGGGTTAAAGCTGTTGGAGGAGTTTGTTAAAATGCGGAGCCTATAAACAAGGTAAAATCAGACATTCAATTCAATATGGCCGACTTCCTGTTGGGTTTATCATATGGCTCCAAGAGACATTTTTTTAAAATCCTGGCATTCTACACGTGCCTACAAATTTGAAATCTTGTAGGGGGCGCTATAGAGCCATTTTTTGAGACACATGACCTTGAAAGTTATCAGACTACACAACACAACCATTCTAATGTGTGTACAAAGTATTGTGAGATTTCAAGCTTCCTAAGCCTCTCAAAATACAGCTTCCTGTTTCATGGCGAATAATGCGTTGGCATGGCAACGCCGTTTTACATTAAGTCACAAGCATGAAACCTCACATCATGTAGGTCTTAAGACTAATTTTAGACAGTTTTGAGTCAAATCGGATCATCCTGCTAGGAGTTCCGCAACAAATAAAACATGTCACTTCCTGTTGCCAATAGGTGGCGTTTTCACTATGACTGGATATTGGCATGTAGATGTCTTCAGGGCGGGACTCTTATCAAACATGTGAAGTTTGGGGCAGATCTGACCATGTTCAGCCGATTTACACACTTTTTCCTTTTTCATGGCGAATCATCAAAATTGAACCCCACGCCACGCCATGCCATGGACACGCCGTTTGATCAATTAAAAAAGTTTCACAATTTAACATCACAAGGGTCTTGGGATGGCACAGCCCGCATTTGAAGTTGATCTGATCATATCCCTAAGACAAGTTCATTAAAATACAGAGGGTGTAAATGGAAAATCGACGCACATTCAGTTCAATATGGCTGACTTCCTGAAGGGTTTAGGGTATGGCTCCAAGAGGCTTATTTTTAAGTCTGAACACAATACATATACCTACCAAGTTTGGCGAATGTAGGCCAAAGAGAAAGGAGGGGGCTTTGGTTTTGAAAATTGTTAGGGGGCCTTTTTTGTGCGCCCGTATCAGACCCATATCAGATCGCTATTTTCACCAGTTTAGACGTGTGTGCCAATTTATACAACTTTTCATGCATGCTAGGCACCCCAACAATGCGTCCGATAGGGAAGAAGAAGTATAATAATAAGAATAATTTTAATAACAAACACAATAGGGTCCTCCAGCGGCCACTGTTTGGGCCCTAATAATAATAATAAAAATTAAAATAATTTCAGTACCCAACGCAGAGAGTTCCCACATGTAAACTTTTGTTTGTTTTAGTTTTTTCTTTGGAATTGGGTGCTGTCTGAGCAGGCTTGTGATGCTTCACTTACTGGGTCAGTTATCAACTGGGGAAAAAAACACATCCAGCAATGACAATACCTCACTTTTAAAATAATTTGTGTCCATTAGTCACTATACAACATGAGAAAAATATGAAAGGATAAGGCTGGCAATTCCTTTTCACTTTTCCAGCCAACTGGATCTGTGACTTTAAATGCCAAGCTCATTTGTTGTTAGTGAAAACGAAAATAAAAACAATGTTAAAACCCTTTCACTAATATGTACTTTCTTTTTTAAAGGGTAAGTTATTTCCTAAGACAACTCGGTACTGTAGTTTTTAGCAAACATCACTTCAACAAGAGCACATAGTATATATTAGAGTCTTTTCAGTCATCACAGCAGGATAGTGTACGTGGGATACACTCACAGTAAACCATAGTGCCCATGTTCATTGTGATGAAGGAAAACATCACCCAGGCAATGTTATATTTTTAATATTAACTATGGAGTTCTATGGCACAAACAAACAAGGCTTTTATACACAGACAGTACTTATACATTGCTGGTTTTGGTCTTTTCTTTGGATTTGTTGAGAGTGAAACCATCAAGAATATCACAAGACTCATCCTTATATAATCAAGTGTATGGAGCAATTTGTGACAATCATAATAATAATTTCTATACCTGATGCAAATGGTTCCCTTGCTGTTGTCCAGTTTTGGATATGACACGCTCTGAATGGGCTTGAAGCCCTGCAGCGTTTGTTGTGTTGGTAAATGACTACAAAAAAGCAAGTCAAGTCATTACCACACATAAGTAAGTGAAAAACATTTTATTAGTGCCTATCTGTCATGTTGATCAAATAAAGTGTGAGCTCAGTTTAAATAATAATAATTTATGACCTCATAAGCTTGTTATTAATGTATATTTTACATAACTTACTTTCTTCACCGTTACTGCTGAAGATTGAGATATTGTTTGGATTTGTTCCCCATTCTTACTGTATACTTGGTTTAATGGCCCAAAAGCCACCTGTTGAAAATGTAAAGTCTGCAACAAGTCAACAAGTCAAAACTATAGTTCCATTTTTTAAGTGTGTACAATACTGCTGTTGTAGGATGAACAACTTAAAGTTGGGGTATGCCATTCTGGAGAAATCCAGTACAATGACAAATACTATGATGCAGAGCGAACAACTATACAGTGCAATGCTTTAATGAATGAATTTAATAATCCCACAAATGTGTGTTTGTCTTTGTCTGTGCTGATGTGTCTTTCTCATGGTTGATGATGCACTCTTGGACTGGAAAATCTAGCATTTCAGTGGTTAATACTATATGCCACCATTTGAAATATGGTAGAATTTGATGCACTGCAAAATGTCATGGCTCAGAAAAATTCTTGACATCTAACTCTTTAAACCTGGTGGCATTACTCAGATTCAGTAGTAATATTAATAATAAACAAATGTGTTTTTGTCTGTGTGTGTCTTTGTATTAGTCTATAGTAATAACCAAGTAGAGGTACTTTTGTAATCAAAATGTTTACTTTGCAGTCAGTTCCTGGATTCTCAATGTTACAGCTCATCAGATGTTGTCCCGAGTCTTCTCCTGGGATTGCTATGCTCTGTGTCTTACATGACACCAGAAAAGCCAAAAGAAGCATACCTGGGATACAAAAACCACACACACAGATCAAATCATACAGTGTTATGTTTTAAACGAGGCTATTTAATCTTTTACTAGAGGAAGGGCTCATGACCAAAATGTCAGTCTGTTTTTAAAGATAATTATGTTATTATCTAATGTATATTTTTATCTAAAACATTTCTAACTTTAAAACTAAAAAATAAAGTGTTCTCTGATTAACGTATACCTGCAAGCAGTAGTATGCTGAAAAAGATAATCCCAAGTGTTCCTTCTCCTAATGCAGTGCCAGTAGCTTTGCGGAAGTGGCAGTTTGGCCTCGCTGTGTCTAAGCAGTTGCACACAGTAATGGACAGGTTGTGGACAGTGTTCACGCCCTGAAGGTCAGACACTTTGAGCAACAGCTCAAAGTGTCCAGAATGAACTGTGTTCTCCTTTACCAGGTTGACTGAAAACCCTGTACATGCAAAATGAATTGACATATTATAAAGATTCACTGTGGGATAGCATATGAACTTGACTTAGAGGTTAATTTGATAGCAGAGACATTATTTGCACAATTTATACGACCTTAGCCACATTTAAATCACAAAGGAGTTGTCAGAACTATAGCATACCTTCCTCAGGGTCAATCCTCCACTTTCCCCGCTCTCCGAGAAGCATGAAGCGAAAAGGTCCACCGTAGGGCTCTTCATCTAAGTCAAAGGCTGTGATGTTGGCCAGAGAGGGTCCATCAGACTGGCACATGTCAAATGTGCTTACAACCAGGGATGGTTTATTGTCATTTTCATCTCTAACATGAATGCTGAGAGTTGCGGTACTTGTCATTGGGGGTTTACCTAGTGACCAAAAGCACATGTATATTTTTAGAAATGTGGTAAAGAAAACATGTTTGATAACATAAACAGAAAGTTAAAACAACTCCAGGTCATACCATTGTCAACAGCATATACTGTGACCTTATAGATATTGTCTTTCACATGGAGTGACTCTCGGTCTATGATCTTTGTTGTGGTTATCTTTCCAGTCACACTGTCCACTGTAACCCAATTTTCCGGATCCTCTCCTTTCTGAAATCTGAAACACACATGAGTTGTGTTTGACATTTTTAAGTTCTCTTTTGACTTTCATACATGTACAATATTGTTGTCTTGTAAAAGGGACATGTAGCTAGTGTCTTCATGACTTACAAAAATGTGTTTGCGGCAGCAAAGTCAGGGTCTCTAGCTGTAAATACTGCCAGGTACTGTCCAGCCTCAACATTCTCAACCACCGTTACTTGTTGGTTAGGATTGTCAAATATTGGAGGATCATTGACATCCTCCACAGCCACTGTCACTTGGTAGGTAGATCGACCACCACTGTAAGTGACTACTTGCCAAAGACCAGTGGTATGACGATTCACCACTTTGCATGAGTGGTAGGCGATCTCATTCTCTACACTGATATTCAGGTTCTTCTGAGGGCTGTCTTCATAGTCTAGAGGCTATAAAATAATTAAATATTTAATGTTGGTTTGAAGACAAATATTGAAATATTTCACATCATATGTCACAGCCATAAGGTTCATCATCCACAGGTTGTCAGTGGTTAAAATCCCTAGACAGTATGAATCACCACATTCAAGAATATCAATTTAAGCCTCACTTAGCATTCATAAGAACTGCTTGCACAGTTCCACTCCATAGTGAGGCTGATGTTTTGATGTCTGAAGGAAAAGCCATGGTTGAAATGGCTGTAGTAACATTTTAAAGAAAGGTACTTAGTAGGTACATAGTTGTTGTGGATGTGCATGTAGATATTAACAATGCTGCATGATATCTGAAGGACAGGCATCAGCAAAGGGCATCTGTGGGTACAACAGCATATTCGGGAATCCAAGTCCAGATACCTGAGGTTGTGGTGTGCATACTATTTTAAAAAAATGTGTTCAGGTCTCCAAACAGTTGTTGGACTGTAGTGTCAAAAATCTGTCAAAAAGACAAATACCTTTTTCACATACAGTAGTCCCTCATTCGTCTCAGGATCAGTAGTGATAATGAAGTTGTTGTTTGTGTCTCCTTGGATTTGATATTTTGCTCTGCTGGCCCCTGTACCTTTGATATCTTCGTCTGTAACTTGCAGACGTGAAACAAGAACATTTTCCTCTCCTTCTTTCACTCTCCCAGGACCCTGGGGTAAAAAATAAACTAAACTTTTATTGTGAAAAGAGACTATAGTAATATGGGCTGTCTATAACAGCTGTCATTGCCTTTTACTCGAGGTAACTGAAAGAAGTAATTTCTCACTGTTTGCCCTGTGATCTTAGGACGGTGATTATTTCCATCTTCTATGTTGATTATGATGGTGCAGGAGCTGGAGAGCTGTTTTTTTTCTCCCCTGTCTTTAGCCTCCACTACAATGGTGTATGTATCTGCTTTCTGAAACAATTATTAATAAATTTTTAAAATGAATAATAAAAAAAAAGATAAAACCAAACTTATATCATTTGGCCTTATTCGAATGTAAGAAGATGAATGTTCCAAGATCAACAGATTTTATATTTTCCATGAAACAATGAGTCCTCTCACCTCATGGTCCAAACACCCTTTAAATGAAATACTTCCAGTACTACTTCTCTGGTTTAAGAAGAACTCCAGCTCATGTGGTTTAGGAGTTACTGAGACTATTTTGAAATCAAACACTCCATTTTTTCCAGTGTCAAAGTCGCTTGCCATAATGGTAATAATTTCAGTGCCTGTCAGTATCAGACGAAAGGAGTTATTTTATTTATTTTAATTTCTTTTTATTAATACAATTTTGTTTAATGTAAATGATAGTAGTAATAAGGATTACGTAAGGAAATTGTTAAAAGTGAGCAGTTTACCTTGTGGTGTTGACTCTTTAAGGTTGACTGTGTACCTTTCAAGGTCAAACTTTGGAGGGTTGTCATTTGAGTCGATAATTTGTATCTCAATGCCAAGCTTCGTGTCTATTACATGTTTATCTCTATCTAATGCATGAAACCTTAGCTGGAATGAAAAGGCAAGAATTAGGAAACCTTACACCACACCCCAAGCACATTCACTCATTTACATTTATCCATTTAGCTGACGCTTTTCTCCAAAGCGACTTACAATTGCTATATACGTCAGAGGTCGCACTCCTCTGGAGCAAGCAGGGGTTAAGTGTCTTGCTCAGGTACACATTAGTGTCTCACAGTGGATTCATACCCAGGTCTCTCACACCAAAGGCATGTGTCTTATCCACTATTCCATCACCAGAGATCACCGGAGATTGTTGTAATAATATTGTTTTAGTAAATTCTTTCTAACCTTCAAAACTTTGAATTTCTCATAGTCCACGGGGCCATGCACAAAAATCTCCCCTGTGCTATTGTTGATTTTTAATATGCCTGTGGGCTCTTTGTCAACACCTTGACCATGTATCTCGAAAAGGACGAGCTTCTTCTCAACTTCAATCTGTAAAGTCAGAAAAACACAGCAGCAGCGAATTCTGTAATGCTCTTCCTGCATTTTGTCATAAGTGCAATTCATATCCATGCATTGTGACTCTCTGTAGATACTCACTTTGCCCAGTGAATATGGGAAAGGTCCTTCATAGGCCTCATCAACTCTGAAGGAATCAATAATCCAGTTTCTCTTTTGTCGGTGCAAAATATCTGAAGATGACCTGTGGATTCCCAAACACTGCAAAAAAATTGCATTGCATTACTTAGATTAGATTACTTTACTTTGATTTAGTTTTTGTGTATTATGATTAACTTTTACAAGTAAGTAAGCTCTTTTTAACTGATGTTAAACAAGTCACTCAGGTTGTGTGCATAACACCTCTTCCAGAACACGATGTCTGATTGGATTTGATTTTAAAGGATAGGCCAAAATTTTTCAAATCGATTGGATCAGGAGATTTTGACTATTGGAATAGCTGTACATGCAGATGCTGTATCTTCTTTAAACTCTGCAACATTCTTGCTTTTCATTTGTTATTTTCATTTTTTCGGCTTCATTAATGAAACACCTATCACCTTTAAAAGACATCAGAAAAGCAAGCCGGGGTTTGGATAAAAGAACAGCAGACCTTGAGCCAGCCAGATCAAACAGACCAGGTAACACAGCGGGTGCATCATGGTCCAGCTTGGATTTAAGGCTGCCTCTGGTTAATGACGAAATGGGACACAGACTGGCCAAGCAACAAGAAGTCTGAGACTCTAATGCCCCATTTTTGCAGAGACCTGCTCCATCAACATCCCAGATCGAGCACTCGGTGTGCCCACCACATTCCAAGCTGACAGAGCACAAGGCTCAGAGAAGATGAGAGGAGGCAGAGGCGGATGCTTAGTGCTCAAACGCAGTCAAAGTGATGGACACTGTTTCTCAAATGTCAGGCTTTGTATGTGAAGATGAAAACCATATTATCGTCACTATCTTGTTACTGCTGTTTACATTCTCAAAATGCAAATTTACAAAATTCACTACAGAATTATTTTCCTTATATTTGGATATAAAAAACTATATAGGCTTATATTCTTTGAGTGTATTTATTTTATATGTTACCCTATTGTAATGTCAATGTAATTATCTGGAATGCTCTATGTATGTAGCCTGCAGGGACTGCAAACTTTCAGTCAGTTTTATAACCTTGTGACGTATATAATGATAAATCTATGACCAAAAGGGATGAGACAGCAAGCTATCGTTTTGACAGACATAACAGCATTGCTGCATTGGTTGTCATTATGACAGATAAATGTTTATTTGTAACATCCTAATTGTCTTAATTTTATAGCTGTTATACCCATAATTTCTATTCTTTTAAATGGTTCTTAATTTAATTAAATTGTGCATCTAAATGTGGGGGTATTTGCTGTTCTTTTATCTTTACCTGTTTTTTTATAATTATTATTTTTTAAATTGTAAATCTTTTACATTTGCTTTATTTTTTGTACCATGTAAAGCACATTGAATTGCCGTGGTGTATGAAATGTTCTATACCTTTCCTTGCCTAAAATAATAAAGCCGTAAAGCCCCCATGTTGCTAGAATGAGTTGGATTAAAACATGGTTTGTAGTGGTTGGATTCTAAAGCAGAAGCAAGATCAGAATAAAGTAAGCATTGTCTAAAATATTTTTTGCCGCAACTTAAGTAAAATTCTTACCAGCATCACGAAAAGACTGAGGCGTATTGTCTCCATAGCATATCCAGATTATGTGTTGTCCCTTTGACAATAAAGTATTCACTGTATACCTGTGAATGGGAGGGTCTGTGTCATAGCTGCAGTATACCTGTGAATGGGAGGGCCTGTTCATAGCTGCAATATACCTGTGAATGGGAGGGCCTGTTCATAGTTTCAGTTTACCTGTGAGTGGGAGGGCCTGTGTCATAATAAATTTATTTCACAGCAACTTTACATGTTCAGCCTGGAAGTGAGGAAAACTTCATAGCAGCTGCTATGAAGCAGCTGCTATGAAGGGGTAGGGGTTGGTCTCCATACTGGCTATTATGTATAATATCAAATAAATGAATAAAACATACATTGATATGTTAAGCTTTAAAAATAATACTTTTAAAAGCTCAATGAAATATTTTACACTATTTTTCCCAGTTTTTCATAATGCCACCTACCAAGATAAGACAACCAGGACAGAGTTAGAGCCAGTTATGTCACTGACTCTTGCTTTGGTCTGAATGACCTGCACTAAACAATTGCATGATTATATTAATTACATCAGATTATTATTACATAATATGTAAACACTGTGGGTCACAATAAACCTCTATTCCAAAGACCATAACCAGCCTCCTGTGGGTACAGCATGTTCTATGTTCAGCCTTGTTTGTGTGTGTTTGTGAGAGAGAGATATTCTTTTTAAAAAGTTTTTACTTAATCATTACGTCACAGTTCACTTATAGTGTAGTGAACCTGTGTTGCATTGGGACTAGTTGCTGTTGTGTTTCTATGGAACCAATTGAGAGATGCACATGATTTCCTGGTAACAAATAAACTTGACCAGACTTGCCTTTAAGGCAGATCTGGCAGAATTGTAAGGCCTCAGAATTGGTTATTTCCTCTTTGTAACTGCTTCATTTTATTGTACGGTTTGGCACAACACTTTCTTTGTAAGATGTATTAGATTAACAGTCATGTTACAAACTACACATTTCATTTCAGCCACAAAGTGTTTTAGTAATAACTTTGAGATGCAATATTTCATGCTGCCTTGTGTCTTTTGGTGTTAATCAGTCCAAATAATGTGTGTTGTTGATGGTTGCTTGCTTGTATTTCTTATGTCCAGTTCATCAACAAAATTTTGTTAGTTTAGTTTATCTCTTTCGTTTAAAAAAGGTTTGTATGTGTCTTAAGCAATTCGCCACCGAAGTAATAGAGTTAATGTCAGACTCTGAGATTAGAAGTTTGTGACAATGGTAAAACGAAGCTTCTTCAACAAAGTCTACTTTGCTGAAATCTGGTTTAGCTAGAGTGTGGGAATGCATTTGTTATTTTAATCATACTGAACGCTTGGATGACTACCACAGAAATACAAAGAAAACATAGGATGATGTGTCTGGGAGGGTTAGGGTGGTGGTGTGTACAGTGATGCAAGGCAGCTACAGAACCAGCAACAGTCCTGATGAAATCACTTCTCAAGAAAGAAGATAACTGTAATTGGACAAAACCCAGAATGAAACATTCATAACCTCCATGCTATATCACTGAGGGTCTTGCTGTCCAGTTTATGGGAAATTAAGCATTGTAGACTGTAGTATGGAGCAGTACTTCCTTTATGAAGAAAGAGAGGTGTTATTTTGGGTTAAAGCTCTGATTGCAAACTACAAATGTCATTATAACACCAATCTGTAATCTGTAATCTCTAATAATGACCATACCTTGTATTGATGAGATTCAACTCAAACTTGTTATTTCCATGGTTAATGAGGGGAAGACTTTGACTTACTTTTATGCTCCACTGCGTGTTTTGGTGTTCATCAGTCTTTATAATGTGTGTATTTGGTGTTTGCATAAATTTGACATTTCCTGCTGTAGCCGGAAGTACCAGAACTTTTCATGTCTTCTTTTGTCTTATTGTTCTGAAATTGAACATAAGTAAAAAACATGCTTTACATATCTTCAGTTTGTTTATGGGTTATGCATGTGGGTCAAACGAGTTTGGGTCTGAGTCTCAGATTTGCATGTTACTCTTTGTGCCGCACCATTAATTAAAAAACCAGATCTACCGCGTATGTGGGTGCTGATGGTACAATGGATAAGACACATGCCTTCAGCTAAATGAATAAAAATGTAAAAATGTGAATGTCATGACATGATAAACTGACAAATCCCACAGGGTAGCTTTGGCAGCATACAGGGAGTTGAAGATAAGAACAGGTCATGACAAAACCATCATAAACAGTAGGCCTGTGGTGTTTATACAGTACCAAAACACAAAGATGTCACTTTGTGTTCAAAAGTGGTGGAGACATTTAAGGGCTCATATTAGGGATGTGAAGAAACACTCAGTCCACCAGATGTGAGAATGCACAATATTGAAGTCACGAGAAGAAGACAACAAGATATTTCAATGGTATTTTGAAGAAATATTGGTAACACTTTCTATGAAGGTCATTGCGATAATGACTTATGTATATATTTAACAGGATATAATGCGTCCATAAGACATTATAACAGTTGTTATAATCACTTACAAACATGCATTAGGCTCTATAGCGAAGTTCATAATGTATTATGACCTTTTGATTTAATGTTTCATAACTAATATTAATACCAGTTTATAACAATGTGCGGCAAGAATCTCCGACCATGTTCCATAGTACATTATAACCACCGACTCTGCCTCGTTATGAATACGCTTTAGTCACCATTTACAATTAGTGATATAAAATGGAATAATAGCTTATAGTAATGTTTAAAGTTATATAGCATGTCTTTGTTTGCTTTAAGTAAAGTGTTAAAATATTTATCCCTGTATAATATTTACAGGTGGACATAATACCATATGAACTAATTATAAGACCTTATAACATGTTATTGTTTGCTTTAAGTAAAGTGAAGTTTGCGCAGGAAAACATCTTTTATTTATGTTTCTTCACTTTATGAACAATCTGTATGAATTTTGAACATTTTCAACATAATTACATGCCTATGGACAGGCCCTAACAGATGCAGTGGACAATTAAAGACAACCACTTCACTATAATATAAATATAACTTTAAACATTGCTATAAGCTATTATTCTAAATTGTGACTAAAGTGTATTCATAACGAGGGTCTTCTAGGTCCTCCCCCAGAAGATCTTCAGCATTAAACTCTTGATTTCCTGTATTCTGGAGACATTTTCTGCACCAATTTATGGTGGAAATGTCTCTTATTTACACGAAGGGAAACAAAATTCATGTAGTCGGTGACAATTCAGATTACAAAATTATTATTAAATATGATGCAGTAATCAGCTTGTTTTAGTTCACCAGTTATTTTTTTGGGACAAGGCAGATCTGTTTTCTTCTATATTTACATTGCATTTTCTTTTTTTTCCTATTGTGCAAGTAAACCTTTCTCATAGAATTTTTATTTGTTATTTAACATTTCTTGTTGCAAGCTAATTTTCAAAATTTTTTTATTAAATGCTTTCAAAAAGTGGTGGGGACAAAATCAGCCATTTCAAAAAGTGGTGGGGACATGTCCCCATGTGTCCCCAGTGTAAATGACACCTATGCCAAAACAATAGACAGCTGGTGTCATTGGTTTTAAAAACACTTCTCAAGAACGCTACACTATGTTGGGTGGGATTGTCACTGGAATTATGTTCAGGGTGTCAGCACAGTCAACTCAACTCACTGCCCTTTTGACAAGCTGTGTGAGAGTTTTTCTGCCACCACTCCCTCATCAACAACTTCTTCATCTCCTACAATTAATGTCATAGTCTTTAGGTAAGACAAGTAACATGCAAGTATAAATTAATGAATACGAAGTTTTTTTATAGTTTTTCAGACCAAATTTATATTATATGTCGTATGCATAGTGGTACAGTATGTTGTTAGTTTGGTATAATTACTTTTTAATATAGTTGCTTTAATAAATAATACCCACCCCACAGGTAAAAAGATTTCAACCCAAAGGTTGCTATGTACCAACATATCTTTTAGTAATGGCAAATGCTAATTTCTCTCCAAATACTAATGTATTTTATAAAAGAGTTCATGTTTAAGATTAAAAAAAACACACAAGAAAAAGCAATACAAACATAGTGTTAATTCCATACTACTGTATACCAGATCATTAACTATGGGCAACAAACATTTATGGTACCTCAGTTTAGTAACCATACCACTGAACAATTACTGTTGACCAATATTGATTTCAACCAGTCAGCTTTCTGCTGGTCCTATGAATGCTTTTTTACAAAAGGGTTATACACAACATTGTGTATAATATGAAATATTCCGGTTGCCACAGATAAACGTACAGTTTAAAACATCACAATAACACTGCAATGACAAAACCTCCAGTGTTAAAAATGATGTGCATTGCAATGTAGCAGCAACCACACCTAAAGTAAACAAGTTAAAAGCCAAGCAAACACACCCAGTCACAACGTAACATTTCACAATCACCAGAGCATTTGTGGAGTGCATTAATTCCATCTTGTGCAACCTCTACAATATGATCCTCATTGTGTGGATAGATATCAGATATAGAATAACATCTCTAAAATAAGTGAGGTGTTTGAGTCTGAAATGCACAAGTACAAAATCCAAACATTGTGGTCTATCTAAGAACAACTTTGCTGATAAAAAAAAAAAAAAATCCTAGTTCAGCTGTACCCTTTAAAGCTCTATCTTTTTTTCTTGAATTGTCTGGTGACAGATGCCTCCCAAGGTCTTGAACTTTGGCCCCAAATCATTCAGAAACTTCAAATCATCTCCCAGGTTGCTGAGTGACATCTGATCCAGTGACAGGCATTCGCTTTCCTGTCCCTCGTAGGCATACTCGTGGGGTTGGTACACTGGGTGCTCTACATGGTTTCCATTAATCATGTACAGTTTCTGTGGGAGGAGTTTTGAGGAGTCAAAAAAGGATTTCTGGGTAGTTTTGTCAAAAACTGGTCAGACCAAAATATATCTAAAAAACATTCAGTCTGCATGTATGATGTTATATTCATGGCACTTGACTACTTATTTCATTGCTCAAAGCAGAAACAGATAACCAAGATTTTATTTTTATCTGTGTTATGTACAGTATATTAGCATTCGGCCTGTACTGGGCTGTGCAGCGATTACAGTT